GAGTATTGAATTATGTAATTTATTAAATGCATTCATTATAAAGTAAGATAGAGATTGAATTATATAATTTATTAAATGCATTCATTATAAAGTAAGATAGAGAGTGACTTTCGCTCTCCAAATTTGGAGATTATCTTCAAACATTAGCTTTCTTAAGTAGAGAGCTCTTGTATTTAGAAAGTCTTTTGGAGATGCACTATCGGAAGCAATGCTTCAAAGACCTCACTGTGCCTCAAAGACCATAACAAGTGAATGTCAGTTGAACTACCTGTTCACATATTTCTTCACAGAACCAATTTCGTTTTGGAAAATCTTCCAGAACTTCAACACCTTTATTTCTGAGGCATCCAACATGATCTACAACAAATTTCTCTTACATAAGAATATGATATGAACTATGTTATTATTAGATACAGAAATCACTAGCTTACTTGTGCATAAGCTATATGCAAGAACCAATCATTAAGATAACTTACATTGTTGCTCACACTGAGCACAGCTGAGTAGACTAGAGTTGGAAAATTGTTTTTTATTCTCATCAAATCCTCTCCCGCAACAAATTCCACAACAGCATGTAGGACAGAACCAGTCACCATCTGGGACCTCCTACAGAGGAGAACAAATGCAATCATAAAACAATGCTTAGTTCAACTAAAATTCTTTTTCCAAAAAAGCAGAGCAGAATACACTGAGCATGAAGTAAGAGTAAAAAATGAATTACCTTCAAACCAAGGCAGTGAGTATGAAAGGAAGATGGACAGTTATCACACAAAACTAATTCACCTCCATAGTGGCAGACGGAACAAATGTAGTCATTTGTGCTGCAGCTCTGCCTGGCCTTCTTATTACATGATTCCAGTTTTGCACTTTTGTTACCATTGTCGCGTCTCAGTTGCAACTGGCACTCCACCAAAGACCTTCCATCCTCCAAAAATATGTTCGCTGAAGGCCTGTGATTGGTGCTGCCAGCATGAGCTTCGAAGCTACTAAGAGTAAAAATTTTCTGGCAACAACTACATTTGATCCCATCACGTGATACTCGTCCTTCTGCCATTGGACGACCATCTTTCTTGCTACGATATTGAACTTTTGCTCTTGGCAGAACCACATTATTGTCTATCAACCAAGACAAGACAGTTCTAGGAGTTCGATGAGAGGAAGAACTAGCCACTTCCCGAGCTCTTTTACTTGATCGCAGGACAGGGGTTGAAGAATCTTCATCCATATGACCTCTCACTTTAATTGGTCTACTAGATGTCCTCCCTCTCTTCAGCAATGGCAAACCATCATTATGATGCGGTTGACTGTCCTTTCTCTTTCTGCCCTTTTTCAGTATCCTGGTTCTTCGAACTTCAGCTTTACCTAGTTCTACAAGCCCCTTTGACATAGACACATTGGACAATTCAGCTGGCATGTTTTCAAATATGTTGTTTGACAGAAGGAAATTTCCATGGGATTCCTTGGCATTGGATAGAAGATGTGATCCATTTAAAGCTAAATGGTCCTCAGTATTTTCATTGATGGCATATACATTCCCCATTCCTCCTAGATTATGAGCATCATCTCTAGGATTGAGTCCATCAACCTCTACACACCGTTTGCAAGCCAACTTAAGAGAGTTAAACAATGTTCCATCCGGTGAACGGTACTGCATTTTCCTCTGGTCCCCCTCTCCGTGGTCATAAAATGTCCACCCCATAGCAGATAGGTGTTTCATGGCTTTTAAGGCCATATTCCATATTTTCCGATTCATTTTTGAGCGGTTGTTAAAATCCTTGTCCTCCAAACCAAGTAAACAGTAATCCTTCACTGCTTGAGGCCAATATTTAGGTTCAACCACATCAGAAGAACAAGGAAACTTGGACAACTTGCTGCAAGATTGTAAATTTCCAACAGGTGGAGATGAAAACAAATCACAAGCTGAACTTACAATACTTTTCTTATTGCACTGGGAGATAAAAGAACGCCTTTCAGATCCAAGCTCCAAACAAAGCAGACGAAAAGAATAATAGATTATCCCATCAGGAGAAGTATAACGCAATCTTGACTTCCCATCATTAACAAAGTCAATTTTCCAGCCAAGATGCAGAAGATGTTTCCTCGCATTCAACAAAACAGTACTTGAAGGATTCTTGTTCTGCTTATACATTTCGCAACATGTAACAATGGCATCAGGGCAAACCTCCGGTCCAGGAACCAAGTCAGGTACAACTGAAACCCACTCCCGTTTCTGTCTCTGTTTTGAAGATTTGACCTCCATATGGGACATAGCGGAGCTCATAATACAAGGTGGTTCATTGTGATTATTGGAACCAGTTCTAGAAGCTTCAACAGGATTAGGAGATAATATTGGCAGAGCAGGAGGCAAGCAAAATATTTCTTCTTCA